TGTATTTATGTAGTTTTGTTTTCTCTATGTGTTTTCCCTATGATAGTATGTAGCCATTGGCCACTTTTTTGTGCTTTTTGTGATTCTCATTTTGAAATGCACAGGGGTAGAGGATTTTCTTGGGAGACAAAGTTCACAGAAAAGTTACAAAGTGCTATCTAAGTGAAATTATTTAGTTTTTCTGACAAGCAATTTAGCCCTGCCCTAATAAACAAAGAATTAATTTACATGAAAATGCTGAGAATTCTCCCTGCCTTTAAGGTAAAAAGGATTAAAATCATAGCAAAAAGGCTTTAGGTTATAAAAGGGATATAAATTTCAGCAATATAAAATGAAAGATTTCAGAGGTGTCTGAGTGGCTCAGTCCCTTTTAAGCCTCCGACTCTTGATTTCAGCTCAGGTCATTATGTTCTGGTTCAGTCTGTGGGACTGAGAGCCCCGTGTCGGGTTCTGTGCTGACAGCATGGAGCCTGCTTGGGATTCTCTCTCTCCCTGTCTCTCTGCTCCTCCCCTGTGGGTGCATGTGCGCTCGCGCGCGCGCTCTCTCTCTCTCTCTCTATCCCTCTCAAAAATAAATAAATAAATAAATAAATAAATAAATAAATAAATAAAATTTTTTAAAAATGAAGGATTTTATAACATTGGATTCAGTTTTCAGTCACCGGGTATCCAAGTCTAACTCATCTAATAGTTAACTAGCACATTTAGCATTTAAGTTAAATGTTAACTATTCTTCCCCTAGTTTAAAAGTATAACAAAAATGGAAGAATAGGTAAGGAAAGAGCAAGAAAAAGATCCCTGGCAGTAGTCATGGTACCAACTGGGCATATAAACTCCCAAAATTTCAATTATCAACCTATACAATTAGACCATTTCCCACATAGTCTCACACTTAGAGGCACACCTATTTACGTTTTTGTCAATGAAAGGACCTTTTTTTTTATTATGAATCTGGTTTTGCAGAAAATAAGTCAACACCAAGATCTATGTTTAGAGTAGCTTTGATACTGAAGATAACCATTTATCCTAGGATATTCTCTATCTATTTTACAGTGTTACCCAAAACCAAAGTGTCCGGATTCCAAGTTTTCCTCTTTCAGGCAAGAAACGAAGGAAAAAAGAAAGGAGGACTCCTTGAGAAACTACTATATGCCAGGAACTCTGCTAAGCCCAGCCCCAAACCTCTTCATTATTCCTCACAATTCCTCATAAAGTAGGTATTACTTCCCCATCTGTAGTCATGGAAATAATGGAAACATTGAGAGAAAACATTCCCATGCCTGGTTCACCAGTTATTTAGTTATAGAGCTGAGACTGAAATTCAAATCTGATTTGAAAGTGTTCTGGTTATTGTTCCAATATATCCAACTATAATTAATAGAGGTTATTTAAAAATTTTTAATGATCACTATCTCAATATGCTATGTGTTTCCTGTTATAAACTAAATATGCTTTACTTAATGTCTTCAACAGTTCAACTGACACATAGTACTTGTTTCTTTAAATAGTCATAATCCTATCACTGACTCATAATGAACAAGCAATTAATTTAAAAAAAACAAAACACAAAAAAACAAGATCTCTCTGATCTTGTCCTATGCAACTGAGTTTGAACCCAAGGATGGAAATGGATTTCCATGTCATTGTATTAGCAATGGCCAATCACTGTAACTGTGGAGAGCTTTCAGAATCCCAGGGCTGCCATTTGAAAGAGTAACTACTCTGAGGTTTACGTTACCCACAAACTTAATGCTAGTAAATCAATAATTAAAAAAAGATGGCAGGTCCAGCTACCCCCAGAATTTAGCAGCTATTAGTGGAAAACATTCTCTAATGCATTCAGTATGCATATCAGTGTATAAATCAACAGCTTCAAATCCACCTATCCTATTATACACTTCAAACTCTATAGGATATCACATATTTTTCTAAGTGCCTCAATGAATGCCAAACACTGGTCAGTTTAATAACCTTACCAGAAAATGAAATCAGGTTAGTGTTGTAAGACTTGTTAACTCTATTCTTCTCCATGTGATTTTTCCATGAGGTCACTGTGATGGTGTTTTTGACAGGTCAACTTGGCTAGTCTAATGTCCTGAGTTAATGAATAAGATACTAATCTAGGTGTTATTGTGAACGTATTTTGTAGATGTGATTAAAGACCATGATCAGCTGACTTTAAGCAAAGGAGACTATCCTAGATAATCTAGGTGGGCCTGATTCAATCAGTGGAGCTGAGGCTTCTCTGAAAAGGCAGAAATACTACCTGTGGACAGCACCTTCAGCCTGTGCCTGAGAGTTCCAGCCTGTTCTTCCTGATGGCCTGCCCTAATGATTTCAGACTTACCTACCTAGTCCCACAATCACATAAGCCCATTTCTTGAAATACATGTCTTAATGTAGATCTCCTACTGGCTCTGCTTCTCTGGTTAAACCCTGACAGACACCTTCACAAGCCATCAATAGCTCACAAATACAAAACACCTAGGGATAACTTTAACAAGTAATATGTGGCTAGGGGGCACGCGGCTGGGTCAGTCAGTAGAACATGCAACTCTTGATCTTGGGGCTGTGAGTTCAAGACCCACATTGGGTGTAGAGCTTACATAAAAGTAGGAAGAAAAAAAAAAAAGACCAAGAACAAAAGAAATGTGGGGTTCCACTGAGAGATCTAATATCAAATAAATTTATAGGTTTATACACAGTCCTAGTCAAACATACAGCTGTTCAGATCATGACAAAATAACCTTAAAGTTCCTCTGGATGAATTAAAAAGAAAAAGAACAATTTAGAAAATAATAATTGCTAACATTTACTGAATGCTTACTCTGCCCTAGGCTCTTTACCCAAGTTGCAAAAAAAAAAAACCCCAAAAAACAAAAAAACAAAACCACCTAAGAAGCAGAGAAGACAAGGTAATTCAAGGAAAAGATCAAATTGGGAGGGCAGGCCACGGCCTGGCTTATTTTGTAAATAGGATCTTCCTATCTGAATGCATCATAGCCATTTATGGTTTCTTAGATGTGTCCCTTTTTTCTCCTTCATGTTCATCCAGGGCTAGTGTCTGGAATTTCATTCGTGATGGCCTAGTGAATCTCTGCACTGTCTTCCCTCCAGAATCTCAGTCTCTGGGTCCTACAGTCTGTTTTCTTTTTCATGTTTATTTGTTTTTTTGAGACAGAGAGAGAGAGAGAGAGAGAGAGAGGCAGAGCGTGAGCTGGGGCGGGGCAGAGAGAGAGGGAGACACAGAATCAGAAACAGGCTCCAGGTTCTGAGCTGTCAGCACAGAGCCTGACACGGGGCTCGAACCCACAAACCTGTGAGATCATGACCTGAGCTGAAGTTGGAGGCTCAACCGACTGAGCCACCCAGGCGCCACCCCCACAGGCCGTTTTCTAATTCCTCAGTAAAGAGGCAATGATAAATCATGGAATAAAAAGTATATAAGGTGAAAACAAACAGATAAGGACGGAGAGGTTTGGAAGAAAACAAGGTTTCCTCCAGTTCTGCCAGCCCTTGGAAGTTTCACTCACTGCATTACTATTATTAAAGTGGACACAGCAATCCAAGCTCAGAGTACCAGGAAGAAATTCTCTTCTCTGTATTTAGAGTAAATTAAGCAACCTGTGTTTTTTGTAACCTGTATCATTTAATAACAAGTCTATCACAAGGTAATAAATAGGAAATGAAACCAGCACTCTCTGGAGGGAGGTCGCTGTAACTGGAATTTTTAATAAACTGGAGAAAGGCTAAGTCCTTCCCACCATCTTGGACTCACACAGGAACACTGTCAGGATGACAGCACAGAAACAGCTAGTCACTGCTCCTTTCGGATTTCATTCTTCAGAGGTCCACTTCTGGGTACACCTAGACTCGCAACTCAAGTGAATAATTCTTGGGTGCTGGCTTTGCTCCTGTCAAAGAATGTGAAAACTAATGTGGCTGATCCAATTTTCTTTTGAGATCAAAATGGGTGCATCTTCTTTTTTTTTAACAGAAAAACAAGAAACCAAACCCACACGTATCTTCATGAAATGGATATATATTTCACACCTGAATAAATCTGTGGACTTCATGCTGCTGTATCTATGAATGGCGCTCTGCAGTATCTAAGAATGTCAGGATGTCGATCTTGCTCAGGGACGTTTAAAAATAATGCAATGCCCGATCAATAAGAAAAAAAAAAACTGTATATTTTCTTATCATAATGTAATACAAAATTAGGTACCAATAATGAAGTAATCTAATTAATAATTAGAAATGTACTCAATATTGTATAGTTTGAAAATCTGTGTCACCATATCTAAAATATATTTATTTTACATTAACCATAACACAGGGTGATTAGTTTGGTGTCCTTATCTGAGTGCCAGCATATCTGTAGAGTTGTTGGGTCTGGGAATTCTCAGCATAGTACATTAAGCAGCTGGAAAGCTTTAATGCTCGAGGATGGTGCTGGCATGACATAGATGTTCAAAAGGAACAACATTTAAAATGAGCCACCTCCACAATTTGTAACTAGCTGGTATATGCTTGCTATCATGATGTAGAAGGCTTTCCAGGAAGCAAAACTAGGCTGTTATTGTGCATGCTGCTGCTCAGTGCTAAGAAACTATAAGAACCTGTTAACCGGGCAAATTCTCACTGGTCTCTTACCTTAGCCTGTGACAGTTTGCACCATTACATCTAGACAATTATAATGCTTTACAGACCAAAGGGCTAGTTTCTCCTTAACACTCTTCAACTGCAATATGCACAGGACATTTTCACATTCATATGCAAAGCATATGGTTAACCTCAATCTATGGAGAAAATGCTAAAGCCAACAAAAAGCTTCATTCAATTTTTCTTCATTTTATGGAACAATACTGAAAGAAAAAATATGAACTGAGATGATGTGGTTGAATGGAAGGTTTCTTGGGAAATCAATTAGAAGACCAAAATAATTGCTTTTTTAATTGAGCTTTCTGGAATAATTACCTGTTTGAAAGATAACCTACCAGTGATGCCATTGGATTCCTGCTGTAGGTCACAGTACCAGAGTCGGTTTACTGGATCACATCCCTCCCTTATTGATAATAAGACATAGCGACCATCGTCAGACAACTAGGAAGGAAATAAAAACAGTGCAGGGAGGGGACTGATTAGAAAATATTTTCTGCGAAAGCACGGTTAAGTAAAAACTAAAGGTTAACCTCAAATGCAATACGTTCATTCCAAATTTATGTGTGGCTAAGAAAGTTAGAAAAAAAAAGATGAACATCAACTTTAACTTATTTTACTCTTACATCACAGTTTAAAAAACAGTGAAATATTTAAGTAGAAAATATCAATAGATAAAACTGAATGCCATGACTCAATGTGATTTTGATTTAAATTTATAGTCTATTCTTTAACTGAAAATACACGCAATCTGTCATTTTGAATATCAGTATCTCTGACTTTGAAATTTTGTCACGGCTTACAGATATTAAAATTGTCGTGAATGAGTGAGAATTAGCAAAATGGGCATGATGCAGTTTATCTGTGGTGCACACTGCTGGCATCAGCCAGTTGCTGTGGAACAACTCTTTCTGTGTATCTAGTCACCTCTACAGCAAGATGTCGAAGATCAAAAGCCTGTGCTTCTGTAGATTTCCTTTACAGAATCAAATAGGAGAATCTCAGGCAGCAAAAAGAATCTTGGTAAACTCATAAAACAAACAATATATTATGATTTTGAGTTGTCAAATTGATATAAGTGGTATCAAACTCTCTCTCTCTACACACACACATACACACATCCTTTTGTAACTTTTTTCAACAGAATTAAAAAAATTAGTCCATGTCAATATATGTATATTTCATTTGTTTTAACTGCTATGCAGTATTTCAATCTAGAAATATACCACAATTAATTGATCCATTTTCCCACGAATAGATGTTTTATTTCTATTTTCTTCCTATCACAAGCCACACTTCAGAGAAGTTTTGAACACGTTTATTTGTGGCCTTATGTGTGTTTCCAGGTGTATAACTAGAAGTAAACTTGCTCAGTGGTAAGACACTCACATACTCAACTTTCTTAGATGTGGCCAAATAATTTTCCAAGATGATTGTACCAACTTATATCTTACATTTCACAGTGAGTAACAGTTCCTGTTTTTCATATCCTACTGTGATGGCTAATTTTACATATCAACTTGGCTAGACCATGGTACCCAGGTACTTTGTCAAACATTACTCTGGATGTTTCTGTGAAGGTGTTTTTGTTTTTGTTGTTATTTATTTATTTTTGAGAGAGAGGGACACACAGAATCCGAAGCAGGCTCCAGACTCAGCTGTCAGCACAGAAGCTGATGCGGGGCTTGAACCCATGAACTGTGAAATCATGACCTGAGCTGAAGCCAGAGACTCAACTGACTGAGCCCCTGTGAATGTGTTTTTTAGATGGGATGAACATTTAAACTGGTGGACTCTTAAAAGGTGATCACCCTTCATAATGTGGGTGTGCCTCATCCAATCAGTCCTGAAGGCCTTAACAGAAAAACAGTGACCTTCCCAAGCAAAAAGGAATTCTGCCTTTGCACTCAAACTGAAAACTCAGGATTTCCAGCCTGCCAACCTACCCTTCACAATCACATTAGCCAATTCTTTAGAAATAAGTCTTTCTCCTATAGGTGTATACACACATTCTGTTGGTTCTGTTTCTCTGGAGAATCTTAACATACTTACCAACAACTGTTAATATGTTTTTTCAACAAATAGTTGCTAAGCAGCCATTATGTGCAAGACATTTAAAGATATATCAGTGAACAAATCAGGGAAAAAAAGTTACATTCTACTGGAGAAGATAAGTATGGAATTATGTAGCATATTATAAAATGATGAATGCCATGGAGAACATGAACAGGTGTAGGTAAGGGAGGCAGGATGTGGGGAGAGGAACTGTAACTTTTTAAATATGGTAGTCAAGGTAGGCCTAAGAAAGTGTCTTTCCATTCTGTTCTGCCTTGCATTGTTTCAGAGGAGAAGTAATTTTCTATCTTTTTCTCACTGCATGTAATTTTGTGTTTTCTTCTTTCTGGCTGCTCGTGAGATTTTTTTTTTTTAACCTTAAAACTAAGATTTTTATCTTAGGTTTTAATGCAAATTAATAATGGGCTTTGCTGTAGTAGCTTGAGATTTGTTGAACATTTTGGATTGGTGGGTTTGTCTATTTTATCAAATCCGTAACGCTTTTGGCCTTTTTTCTTTTCCTCCTTTATATTTTTGTGTCCCTTCACTTTACTGTAGGACTTCAGATACACAATGTTAGATCACTTAGCACTACCCCATAGGTCAGTGGGGCTGTGTTCATTTTTGTTTCAGTTTTTTTCTTTTTGGTTTATTTTCAATTGTCCTGTTTTCAAATTCACTGACATTTTTGCAGTATCTACACTGCTGTTAAGCCCATGCAGAGCATTTTTTGATTCGGATGGTTTATTTTCACATCTAGAAGAATGTTTGGTTGATTTTTGAATTTTTTGTTTCTTTGTTCATTATACTGTTTTCTTAAATCCTTTAAAAATTACTTTATAAGCTGTTTTTTAAAATTTTTTAAACATTTTATTTATTTTTGAGAGACAGAGACAGAGCATGAGCAGGGGAGGGTCAGAGAGAGACAGAGACAGAATCCGAAGCAAGCTCCAGGCTCTGAGCTGTCAGCACAGAGCCTGATGCGGGGCTTGAACCCACGAACCGTGAGATCACGACCTGAGCCAAAGTTGGAGGCTTAACTGACTGAGCTACCCAGGTGCCTCTCAGTTTTTTTTTAAAGTCTCTGCTCATTATCCTGCCTGTCACTTCGAGATCTGTTTCATTGGCTACTATTTTCCCTGGTTATAAGTCACATTTTTCTGCTTCTTTACACACTTAGCAACTTTTTAAAATTGGATTCTACACATTTTGAATGTGGTCTGGATTTTTTTAGTGTTTTGTTTTTGTATTCCTTTAAAAAGTTTTGAGGCAGTTAATGTGTTAGTGGGTCAGCTCGATCACTTGGAACTTGTTTTCAAGCTTTGCTGGGAAACATCTACAGCCTCACTGCAAAGGCATGGCCTCTCTGGGGTAGCCAGTGAACACCCCAGATGTTCACAAGGTCTTTTCACTTTGGTCAGAAAGCGACAGCCTCTCAGACCTGTTACTTGTTGGCTTATAGCACCCTATAAGCTTGAATCACGAAGTTTCATTCTATGCATATACTTAGTAGTCCACAAAGACACAAAGGGATACCAAGGCAGATTTCTGGAACTTAGTGGTAGTTCCCTCCTTTTGGTACTCTGCCCGCAAATTCCAGTAGCTTCAGTCTTCCTGAATTCTTTGGATACCAAGTTGAATGAGACTGCAGTACTCTGTGGGTTCTTCCTTCCTTGTGCCAGGCTCCAGAAAATAGCTCCAGAGAGGCAGAAATACAGGGCAATCACAGCATCTGTCTTTCTTACAGATGATGGTCCAGCAATGCCTGTTGACCAATATCTGCAAATGAATGCTTTATTTTGTAAAGTTTTCTAGCTGTTTATGGCAGGAGGGCTGCTCTAAGACCGGTTACACCGTCATGGCCAGAAGCAAATAACTGTCATTATATACATAATTTTTTAACTCATTTTTTAAAAAAAATTTTATGGGGGCGCCTGGGTGGCGCAGTCGGTTAAGCGTCCGACTTCAGCCAGGTCACGATCTCGCGGTCCGGGAGTTCGAGCCCCGCGTCGGGCTCTGGGCTGATGGCTCAGAGCCTGGAGCCTGTTTCCGATTCTGTGTCTCCCTCTCTCTCTGCCCCTCCCCCGTTCATGCTCTGTCTCTCTCTGTCCCAAAAATAAATAAACGTTGAAAAAAAAAAATAAAAAAAAAAATTTTATGGGGTGGGGGGGTGGAGAGCGAGAGAGAGCACAAGCAGGGGCAGGGGCAGAGAGAAAGGGAGACAGAGAATCCCAAGCAGGCTCCATGCTATCAGCGCAGAGCCTAACACGGAGCTCAAACTCACAAACTGTGAGATTATGACCTGAGCTGAAATCAAGACTTGGACGCTCAACGAACTGAGCCCACCCAGGTGCCCCGTTAACTCATTTTTAATTCTTTATTGTATAATTACACTTTCTTTTTAGAGTATGTTACTGTGCATGATTGAAATACACAGATATAAAAATTAAGAGGGGCGCCTGGGTGGCGCAGTCGGTTAAGCGTCCGACTTCAACCAGGTCACGATCTCGCGCTCCGTGAGTTCGAGCCCCGCGTCGGGCTCTGGGCTGATGGCTCAGAGCCTGGAGCCTGCTTCCGATTCTGTGTCTCCCTCTCTCTCTGCCCCTCCCCCGTTCATGCTCTGTCTCTCTCTGTCCCAAAAATAAACGTTGAAAAAAAAAAAAAAAAAAAAAATTTTAAAAATTAAGAATGTAATTAAGGTAGAACTAATTTAAAAGAGAATACCCATAATTAATAAAAAACATAACAGGGGCGGGATTCTGTCTCTCCCTCTCTCTGCCCCTCCCCTGCTTCTGCGCGTGCTCTCTATATAAACAAATAAACATAATACAAAACGTTTTAAAAAACATAGTGATATATTTCTTTCTGTCTCATTACACAGTAAGGTATTTTTACTGTTTCTGTTTTCTATTCCAATAATACTTCTGTGAACTACCTGCGGCCTTTGGGGCATGCTTCTTTTCTTTCACGTAGAAGTGAAACCATCAAAAGTTCACTCTGACTTGTTCTGCTGCCCCCATCACGCCCACATATGCTGATTCCTTCTATCAGTGCAATGTGATAATACCGAGCGAAATGTCATCTAGACAAGAGTGCCTGAGCATGGAACACTTAGGATTTTACTTACCACCAGCAGCAAGTGCTTAGACTTGTAGGCATTAGGTTCCAGCTCTCCAAAAATGTCCATCCACTGTCTATCTACAGGGTCATTTTGGTAGACCAGCTGTTTGTCAATTTGGTTCTTTGCATTTATAAATTAGTCATAACAGCTATGCATGTCTAAAATGCCCATTGTTTTAAACACCTGGCAGCATGCTGGATGTCTTAAGTTAAGCATCACTTTCTCAGAAAAAATCATTTTAAAGCACAGACATAATTTGTACTTGTGA